GATAGAGAGAGAGAGAGAGAGAGAGAGAGAGAGAGAGAGAGAGAGAGAGAGAGAGAGAGAGAGAGAATATTTAGGGCTCGTCGGTATAATTACGACGTAGCGAGATATATTTTATTGCCTATCTTGCGAGTTATTTGGGATTCTGTAGGGTTTTTTGTAGAGCAGAACCGAAACTACGCACCCGGACTTGAGAAATTGGTTTTTCATCTCCATTCATATACATTAAAATAAAAAAAATATCCGTTTTGTTTACAATCAGTTTTATTAAGCGTAATGTAAAATTTTACAATTATATTAATAATTGTAATTACAATAGCAAGAAATTAGATCAAAAGAAGAACTCTTTCCCTTTGCCATATTGCTTATTTACCTCGTCTATTATACCAAATGGTCAACGTTGTCTTGAATTTATTCGATTACTTGTTTTTTATTGAACTTGGTCCAGATGTAAACCGCACATAATATACATACATAAATGCTAAGGATCTCTTTCTCAGATTAATTCGCGATACGTATGCATACAAGTAGCAGATAGTATCGGAAATAGACTTTTTCCACAGCGGATTAAAAGCTTAAATATCTAGATCTCGTGAAAGAGCTAGGAAACTAGTTTCACCCGTTTTGTCCCTCACGTTTTCATCATTCAACCCTCTTTACGTCGGGAGATACACTTCGGTCCACGGTGCTCGGTTTCGACCGCAAAACTCGTCTCCGGCTTTCCTGCGCTAATCGACTTACGTAGTAGGTAAGTATATCCCGTGAGTGATATCATCGTATTAACCCCAGGTCCGAGTCGGTTGCGCGCATAAATAGAATCGTCTTTGCGCCGCAATGTGATCTCGTGGCATAGGGGTTAATGTAGATGCGTGTGTGCGCACAAGAAGAGGGTCAATTCTCCTCTCCTCTCTCATGCGTTAACAGTGATACTTTACGCGAATTCGATGCTCATTCATCCATATAGGTATATATATATGAATAAGGGTGACGGTGTCACAATGATCTGCTTACATATTAATATGAAATGGAATCTGGATTTGATGCGTGAAATCGATGAGAGAAAGAAAAGAGAGTTAAAATTATTATATGTATATTTT